TATTATTATTATTATTTTATTTATTTGGTTTTTCGAGACAGAGTTTCTCTGTGTAGCTTTGAACCTTTCCTGGAACTCCCTCTGGCCTCAAACTCACAAGAGATCCGCCTGCCTCTGCCTCCCAAGTGCTGGGATTAAAGGCGTGTGCCACCACTGCCCAGCCAGAATATTATTTTAACTAGGCAAAGATGTGACATTTGTTTTTGCTGTAGACTATTACTTTAACTATGTAAAGGTATATTATTTTTGTTTATGCTGCATTTGTTTAATTATGTAAAGATGTGTTACATTTGTTTCACCTTGCCTGCCTAAGACACCTGATTGGTCTAATAAAGAGCTGAATAGCCAATAGCTGGGCAGGAGAAAGGATAGGTGGGGCTGGTGGGCAGAGAATAAATAGGAGAAATCTAGGTTAAAGAAGAAAGAGGAAGAACAAGAGAAGGAGGAGGAGAGAATGAGGGACAGGCCTGGGGCAGAAGCCAGGCAGCCGCCAGCCAGCAGACACAGAGACAGCAAGAAAGTAAGAAAAGGTAAAAAGCCCAGAGGCAAAACGTGGATAAAGAATAGCAGGTTAATTTAAGTTGAAAGAGCTAGCCAGAAAAGAACTAACCTAGGCAGAGCATTCAAAACTAAGTCTCCATGTCATGATTTGGGAGCTGGTTGGTAGCCCAAAAGAAAAATTTGGTACAATTTGAATTTTATCAAATGTCTCACTCTGTTCCTTTTCTGAGCTAGGATCCCATTTCCAGTCTGCTGATCTCCCTGAATGGTCCCAATTTTTAGTTTATGTGATCTTTCTTCATTCAGGCTTTAGCTTTTGGGCCAGAAATATCTACAAGTGAAACTGTGTGCTTTTCAGGAGGTCCTCAATATATACAATGACTAGTGCTTTTCTCTTTCATTTCTGTTGTGGTATAATAATGTTTGTTTTGATACGGGTGGGGGTGTGTGTCTCACTACGGTCTTGGATAGCCTGGCACTCACTTTGTAGACCAGGCTAGTCTTAAACTTGGTGGGATATTTCTGCCTTTGTCTCTTCTTCCTTGACCATTCAACTGTGTTTCAGGGGCACTTACTCCTCATTTGTGGGCAAGTATGATCCTATGAGAGGTAGTCCAATACACCTTTTTTTTTTTGGTTTTTCGAGACAGGGTTTCTCTGTGTAGCTTTGCGCCTTTCCTGGAACTCACTTGGTAGCCCAGGCTGGCCTCGAACTCACAGAGATCCGCCTGGCTCTGCCTCCCGAGTGCTGGGATTAAAGGCATGCGCCACCACCGCCCGGCTCCAATACACTTTTTTTTTAAATAACATTTTTTACATCTGTTATACTGGGGGCAGGGGGCAAGCATGTCATGGCATTCATGTGGAGGTCAAAGGACAACTTGTGAGTCTGTTCACTTCTTCCATGTAAGGGTTTAGGGGCTCAGACTCAGGCTGTCAGGCCTGTCAGGAAGTGCCTTTACCTGTTGAGCCATCTTGCTGGCCTCAATGTACCTACTGAGAGGGTAAATTTGGACTTGCAGGTTGAGGGGTGGTGAAAAAAAGAAATAAAAAGGAAGGACATGACTGCTCCTAGGATGGTGAGGGAGAGAGTTTATTATAGATAAAAGGGAGAGCACAGCCAGAGGCAGAGACAGCAACATCTGGGAGATTCCAGAGTGGACATGACCAGACTGAGCTAGGCCATGTGGGGAGAGGTGGAGAGGAAAGAGAGAGGCGGGAGAGGGGAACCAGGTGCAGTAGCCAGGAGGCCAAATGTACAAAGGGCAGGTAACCACAATGTCTGGATTACATAGGGAAGAGCCTCTAGGGGAAAGACAGCCCAGATCCTGGACTGGAGAGTTCAGGGTAGAGGGTGGGGTATGTCAGCCATACCCTGTAACAGGTAGGGACTGAGGGATGCTGGAAGAACCTGATGACAGCCAGGTCTGCTTTGATATGTTATACAGGCACTTCAGCCATTTGTCCAGGGTTTGAGACTTAACAGGGGAGGTCTCTACGACCTCCATTGCCAGCGGAGTGATAAAATGGTAGTTCAGTTCAAACTTCAGGAGTCTGGTGAAAACTTTTTTGGTGATTGTAGGGTAAAAAGGGCCAAGGAAAAACACCCTGCCCCTGAGTTGACTCCAAGACCAGGGACAATAACATGAAACTAATCCGTGAGCTTGCTGCAGAATCAGGCCACAAAACCCCACCAATCCCAAGCCACCTTGGAAGCCCCCCCCCCCGCAAAAAAACCACTATGTAATCTCTGTACCCAGTTCAGTTTGGTGTTGCTTCTCACCCTAGAGGCAGCCACCCTCCTGGATTCTTCTTTCCAATAAATCACCAGTGAGGTTTGTTATGCAGTGTGACAATTTCGCTGGAGCAGAGACCTGCTCTAAACAACTTTCACCAGAGTGGAGCAGAACTGTAACATTTTTGCTGGGGAAACTTTCCCCTAGTGGAGCGGACACTTTGCTGGACCTAAGCCGAGCTGTTAACACTTCTCTGGAACAGGGCTGTAACAACTTCGCTGGGGAAACCCTCCCCTTGCTGGAGCAGAGTCATCGTCCTTGCTTTGGGGAATCCTTTCCCTGGAGCAGAGTTCTAAGCTATGCTCACAGGGACTTTGCGACATTCCTTGGCTCCTGACTTCCAGGATCCCTTTCCATCCGAGCTCCAACACTTACAGTGATAAGCTCCAACACATAGTGATCCTGTGTGCACAATACAGCATACATAAATCTCTTCGAGGAACAAAGTAAGCTAATAAAGATTGGAAGTGGCTACATCTAAACTCTTTGTAACATACAGGTGACACCTTCCATAACGACAAGTTCTGTAGATTGAGTGAGAAAAACAATGTCGTAACTGTCTGGGGGAGGGGCCCGTGTGGTCTCTGCTGTATAGCACAAAGGTCACCAGGCTAGAATGCACATCTGCTCCCAGCTCTGAGCAGATAACAGCCCTTCACTTGAAGGAAAAACACACTGCTAATTTCAGGTGCTTCTAGTGCCTATCTGAAAACAAGAACCTCCATGCCTTCTACAGCTCGTGGCTTTTTTTGTTGTTGTTGTTTTGGTTTTTTGGTTTCTCTGTGTAGCTTTGGAGCCTTTCTTGGAACTCACTCTGTAGCCCAGGCTTGCGTCTGCTGCCCGAGTGCTGGGATTAAAGCCTGAGCCACCACCGCTTGGCTACTGGTGGCCTTTTATAAAGTGTTGTCTTCCCAGGTTTTTTCCATTGTAAAGCTACTGTGTACCATTTGCAATTGCTAAGAATCTTCACAACTGTGTTAAAATACACACACAGTCTCCCAAACAGGAATATAGTTCAGTGCTTTTACAATAACTCAGTGTGGGTTAGACCCTGGGTTCCGTCTCTAAAACCGAAAGCAACTTGTCACTTTTTTTTTTTTTTTCAAAGATTTATTTATTAATTATGCATACAATGTTCTGCCTGCGTGTATGCCTGCAGGCCAGAAGAGGGCGCCAGATCTCATTACAGATGGTTGTGAGCCACCATGTGGTTGCTGGGAATTGAACTCAGGACCTCTGGAAGAACAGCCAGTGCTCTTAACCGCTGAGCCATCTCTCCAGCCCCAACTTGTCACTTTTTAGCACCCACGATTTTCATGTCCAGCAGCAATTACTCAAATGTTTGCCCAACAGAAGACAGTGTTCTATCGTTTTTTCTATATTTATTGATGGGAATGAGGACCTAGAGGTGAGCTGTCCTTTCCTCCATGTATATTCTTTTCAAGGTTCTGGATTGTATTACTAAAGTTTAGCCCCACCTTAGCCCCTGGCCCATAGCAATGGAGTACTGGCTTGACAGTATGGATTTGGAGTGCTCATGAACGGACCTGGCTAACTCTACTTTGTTTCTGAGTCCACCTACTTCATTTCCGTCCTAAAGTTTTCCTAAGTCTTACATACTGCTACCTCGGTGTCAGAGCAGACTTGACGAACATCTTCGGGTAAGGCTCAAAATCACCCTTCATTGGTCCTTGGCACTGACCCAGCTCTGCAAGGCCGATCTATGGGCTCATGCCGAACCAAAAGGACCACTCTTATGGAATCCCCAAACTGGCTTCTGTCTCTCTTCCCTTTGACACCGAGGATACTAGGACGCACAGCGAACAGATTTATAGTTGTTAGACCTTTATCCTTCCCGGTGTGGTGACGCTGCAAGTGAAACTCCTCTCCTGCATCGCGTGACTTTCTGGGGACGACCCATTACGACCCATTAGCAAACGCAAAAGCGCCTGCTGAGCTCAACAGAGGCCGACACACACACACACACACACACACACACACACACACACACACACACACACACACACACACACACACACACACACACACACACACACACACACACACACACACACACACACACACACACACACACACACACACACACACACACACACACACACACACACACACACACACGCCCCCAGCGTTCCTCGCACTCCCGCGCTCTCCGGCTCCCGGCAGCCCCCGCGCGCCACTCTCCCGGCACTCCCCGCGGCCGCCGCCCTGCGCGCGCCCAGCCCCGCCCGGGCCGCCGCCGTGGGTTCCTCCAGACTTGCGGCTGGTCCCGCCCCTGCGCCCGCCATCGCGCCTCGCGATTGGGCCGCGCGCGCCTCGCGCCGCCGATTGGCGGCCTCCTCAGCCCGCTCCCGGCTCCCCCAATGCGCGGCGGCCGTGCGCGGGGATTGGCCGCGCTCCGGCAAGGCCCGCCCTCCGCTCGCCCGCGCGGCAGCGGGTCTCAAGAGTCGAGAGCTTGCGAGGGCCTTCGCGGGTTGCGGCGGCGCCGGGGCGGTGAGGGTCGGCCGGCTGTGGTCGGGCTGCGGGCGGCTCGGGCAGGTCGCGGGCGCCACAGGTAGGTGCGGGGCGCGAGGGGCGCCCCGCGGGCGGCGGGCGCTGCGGCCTGGAGAGGCTGCGCCCTTCCCTTCCTCCCCCCCTTCCCGGGCGAGGCCGCAGGCCGGGGCTCGGGGCGGGGCGCGGCGCGCGAGGCGGGCTGGGCCACGCGGAGTCGCGGCCTTTGTGCAGCGGCGGCCGGGCTCGGAGCCCAGGCGTCGTGGACGTAGGGTGCTGTCGGCCTGGTAACGAAGCCCCTCGGCCGGTGGGCCGGAAGCCATCGCCTGGCCTTCTGGCGGGAGACGTGTGGGCAGGGACACCTCTCGTCCTGAACTCTGCCTGTTTTGGCCGTTTGGAAAAGCCGAGAAACCGTCCAAGTCTCCACCAAATTGCCCGTGGATGAGGTGTCATGTAGCTTATCAGGATGTGGTTTTACAGTAACAATGAACGTGGTAGAATAAATGGGAAGTGGCAACCTGTTGACAGCGATACCTGTCAAGTAGTATCATCCAGTGGACTTGGGTTGCTACCTGGTAGGAATTTGATTTGCCATCTTGCATGCTTGCATGTACCTCGTTGCTGGATGCACAGATGTCCTATGTAGGGTTGTTGACTTATGGAAGCCAATCACTAGGAGGGGCCCACCATCTGCTGGCCCAAACTGGACTCCCAGTCTTGAAAGTGGCTCAGTCCCCACTGTAAGCCACTACTAACCAAAGGGAGTGAATGGCTAGTGAGTGTGGCCTGTAAGTTCAAAATACGAGAATTTGCAGGGTGACAAAGGAATTGATGAGGTCATACTGCCTTTGGGTTGGGCAGGAGGCTGCAGCTGTAGCGTTGGTCACCACAGCTGTATCTCCACACCAGTCCAGCAAGTAGGAGTTGTCCAGATGTGTTGGGTAAGCCCCATGTAACCAGTGTAAGGGTCCAGGATAGCCAGCTGGGGGCCCGCTGCTTGCTCACAGTCCAATTGGCAAAGCAAGGTCTGCATCCACAGGTTCAGTCAGCTGAAGAACAGTGAGGCTGAAGGGCTACCCTTTGACATCCATGTGGCCAGGGGACAGGCACTTCTCAGTGCTTGTTGCAGGTTTACCTTGTAGGAAGTAGGATTTTGACTGGTGTGCCCAGTTTTGGCCTTCTGCCGTCATCATTCCCCTCCCATGTGATCTCTTCTAGTTTTCACGTCAACTTTCCTTGACATCTTCCAAATCTCCATCTCCAGCGCTGGCCTCCTTTCTGATCCATAAACCCCTGCTTGTAGCTGCTCTTTTCAGCTTTGCTGTGGATTGCTTTGACACCAAGTAGTTTGACCCAAGCCGAGCTCCTGTTACAGTCCATGCCAGAACAACCCTTAGGCCTGTCTAAAGTCACCTTGGTGCCTCTCTCAGGCCTTCATGCATTTCTCAGCAAGCCTTGCCACCTGTTTCCAACAGCAGACCTTTTCCCAGAAACTGGAACTTAAAGTCCTGGTCCGAGCTACCTGGTGAGCCTTTTAATTCTCCCCCCTTTATAATTGGATCCCCACTCTCACCCTCTTAGTAGCTTTTCTGGACACGAGGAATTCTTTAAATTGCATGATGTTATAAAACTGGGGTATTACAGACTCAGGCCTGCTTGTTTGGGTGGCAAAGCAACTGTATCACTTCCTAGCTTTGTGACCTTGAGCAAGTTGTTTAACCTTTCTGTCAGTGCTGGGTGAGCTCATGAAGTCCTTAGAGCAAGGCCTGTATGAGGGTTGGCTGCCATTGCTACCCTTCTGTGCAGTATCCTGTTTCTCACAATAAAAAAGATTAAAAAACAAAAAAACCGAAGACTTGCTGACCTGACTTGCTGTCACTTCCCCTCACATAGCACCCTAGCTTGGCCACACCATGTCTCTGCCCCAGGGCCTTTGCTTTTCCTCTAGGTGTCCTCTACAGTGACCTCCTTTTACCCTTGCTTCCACCTGCCTCTGTCTGTTTCATCTTTAGGTGGGTCCTGGCTGTAGAGCCTAGTGTAGTCTTTTAGAAGCTGCTTCCTGCTTCCCAGGTTTTTTCCCCCTTTGTTTCAGCTAGAATATTTGTCAATATGTGACATCATAGATAATTTTCTTGTTATTATCCATCTCCCCCACTGATATGTAAGCTCTGTGGGGCAAGTGTTTTGTCTGCCTTTTGCTTAACACTTACAAATGATGTGTGCCTTATAGAAGGCATTTAGCAAATAGTTGATTAACGAATTGAGTAAGCTTACAGAGGGAAAAGTCAGAAACCTATCTAGGACTGTCCACTGCTGAGCCCAAGAGTTAAACAGTTTTCCTGCTCCTGCAAGATGTGTACTCATGGGCCTCAGGGTACTACCTGTGCTATGTATCTCTTTAAAGCCCTGTCCCCTTTAAGACTTACTAATGTCTTCATTTATTGTTTTCATTTTGTAGTTCTACCCTGGCTCCTTAGCCCATAACATGTAGCATGCTCCCCCTTCCTGGGCCACTCTTTGTCTCTATCCCTGCCTACTTGGGTCTTCTTCCCATTAGTATGTTCTATCTTAGAAAGCACAGATTTTGACTTCCTGTGGTCTCTGAACACCTACCAGGCCCTTTCCTGTTCTTATTCGAGTCTGTTAGAACTAAGCGTGCTGACCTGTCTGTCCTCTGCAGTGGTCCTTGGTTGCCAGGAAACTAGCTTTGTCCCTTTGGTCTCCCTTCTGGTTCCTTAATGATTGCTGCTCTTCTCAGTCATTCCTAAGCACCTTTGATGGGAACACCTTTAGAGAGGTAGTTTGTTAACTTCCCATTGAATTAAAAACTGTGAGGCTGTCGTAGGTTATAGGAAATAAAATGATAGCATAGTTTGACTTGTCAACTATGTCCAGGCCATGGGGTCCTTGTCTTCATTAGTGGTAGCACCTCTCAAAGAATAGATTGTAAGTGGATATTTAAATGGTTAATTTAACCTAAACAAGCCTCTGGCTTTTAGGTTGTACCTTCAGCAAGGCATAACCACTCCACTTAGTCCCTTTACTGTAAGCTGCTTATATAGATGATGTCTTCTGTCTCTTGTCTTCTCTGGGGTCTTAAGAATATGAGTTGTGTAGGTGTAACCAAGCTGTCACCCATGGGCATGGTCGTGTGTGTATATCTGCACCTGCACCAGTGTGCATGGCATGTGCATGTTTCTGTGCATGATGTGGGAGTGTGCATGTATGTGTGTGTTTCTGCCAATAGCCTTTCTTTGTGTGGACCTCTGGGTTTTGTGGCTAGCTCTGATCTGCCTTCTCTGTTGTGTTGTCCCTCTTTTTACACATCCTCTATAGCAGAGCTTCCTGGGAGTATATCCTTCCCTCTCTGCTAGTTCCCTCTTGTGGTTTTGGTACTTTCCTCCCAGTTCATGTGGTCGTCTCCACCAGACTTCTTCAGGGCTCCAGAGTTGTGTGGCCTGAGTACTTGTGAGACAGGGCTGCCTGCAGCATCCCTCTATTCTTCTCTCTAGCCTCGGTACCAGAGTGTGTCTGCAGAGAAGCCTTTTTCTTCACCTCCTTTTTTCTCCTTTCTACCCTATAGGGTCTGCAAGCGTAGACAATTCCTGTGACACTTTCTTATTGTTTCCAGAGCTGCTTCTACATCTTTGTTTTGGAGAACTGCCCCAACACCTGGTGCATTCACCTATACCTGGTATAGCTGTGAGTCTTCTCTATAAGGAGAGTCGATTCCCTCTTGATAGCTCACTATCCTCAGCCTGGGGCTAGGCTCCTGGTACCACCCAGGACCTTTTCTGCCTTGACTCTAGCTTTCTGTGTTGCCCTGCCTACCCCCCAATATTAGCAGGCTCCCTTCCCAACAGACACCCTCCCTCTACTGGGAATGGATCTATGCTGCCACTCCTGGTGACCTCAGCACGCTGCATCACTGTCCTGTCCACGTGCCACATTATGGGCCCAGGAGAGGGGGTCCCTGGGTAGCAGAATGCCTGGCCATATCTCTGAGGTCCCTAGTGCCACAGAGTTGAGCTGAGGGTCTCACTCACCCTCTGACTGACCCAGCCCTTGAAGGTGAGTGGATTGATAGCCTGAAGGAGGCCATGCACTCTGTGTTCCTGAAATGGTGACCTGCTGCATGCTTGCTTATCTACTAGGCTGAGTTATGGGAGTGCTGAGGGAAAGTTTAGCTGCTTTTTATTTTAGTCTTAATCCTTTTTGAGCTCTAAGACTATTTTTGTGCCTGTGAAATAGGGATTAAAGTGAATAGTTGATAATTTAGGGTTCAAAATTTAGATTCTGAGGAAAACTAGTGAAGTTTTTTTTTCTTCTGATATCTAAAAGGCTTTGTTAAAGGCAGTTATCTTAGCCCTTTACTTCATCATAGATAACATTTGACTCTTAACTTGGTACCAGAGAAGTGGAAGGTTTCTGTCATTTTGTGACAATATTTTTAAATTTCTTTGCAGGTGGAAGAAGAAAGGTGCCAGCCATTTGGCATGAAGATAGAGTCACTTAGACGTCATTCTTTTAAGCTGAGTGCATTGTGATTTCCAATAATTGAGGCAGTGGTTCTAAAAGCTGTCTACATTAATGAAAAGAGCAATGTGGCCAGCTTGACTAAGCCGCCAGTGTGTGCAGCGCGGGCAGGACGCCACCGGGTTTCGACGGACTTGTGCATGTTAGCAGTATAGATTTATGTAAGGTGGTTTAAAACTCTGGTGTTTTAAAGTAGTCTTAACTGCTCATAATATGGAGACATATGAGAGTCCCTCTCCTCTCCCGCGTGAGCCCGCAGGAGAAGCGATGATGGAGAACCGAGCTTGCCCCTTCCAAGTGCTGCCCCATGAACAGTCTCCACCACCTCCCCTGCAAACGTCCAGTGATGCAGAGGTAATGGACGTTGGCTCTGGTGGTGATGGACAGTCCGAACCTCCTGCCGAGGACCCATTCAACTTCTACGGAGCTTCTCTTCTCTCCAAAGGATCCTTCTCTAAGGGCCGCCTCCTCATAGACCCGAACTGTAGTGGCCACAGCCCGCGCACTGCCCGGCACGCACCCGCAGTCCGGAAGTTCTCCCCTGACCTTAAGTTGCTTAAGGATGTAAAGATTAGTGTGAGCTTTACTGAGAGCTGTAGGAGTAAGGACAGGAAGGTGCTGTACACAGGAGTAGAACGCAGCACTCGTGCCGAATGTAGCCTGCTCCTTAGTCCTGTCAGCGGGGACGTGCATGCTTGTCCCTTTGGCGGGAGTGTTGGTAATGGGATAGGCCTAGGGGGTGAGAGTGCAGATAAGAAGGAGGAGGAAAATGAGCTGGATCAGGAAAAGAGAGTGGAGTACGCAGTGCTCGATGAGTTAGAAGATTTTACTGACAATTTGGAGCTAGATGAAGAAGGAACAGGCGGGTTCACGGCTAAAGCAATCGTTCAAAGAGACAGAGTGGATGAAGAGGCCTTGAATTTCTCCTATGAGGTATGTTGATAACCTGTTCTCTGGAGGGCTCTGAGCAAAACCCAAAGAGGTTTGGAAGTGGCATTGTCTTTTGAAATCGGGGAAATCAAAGCAAAATCCTATATGAGGTCAAATAACATTAATGTGGAGAAGAGAAGGATGTAAGGACTTTACATTTCTAAAGTTTCTAGTGGCAAGTTTGGCTAACATTGAGCCGTATTTTTTTCCAACCTGAGTCAGCAGGTGCTGCTGAAAAGCCTCTTTGGCTGGGTGTGCTCCTGGACCAGGGGTGTTGGTTTCACTTGTCATTTCATCCTGTTTGTTTTTCAGATGATGAAATGCCATCAGGGCATACCCACTCCCCATTGAGGGTCTCTCTGTGTATTCCCTCACACATGCAAAACTTGTCCTTGGTACAGAAGCATGGAGGGCTGTAGTACCTGAACACCTTGTTTTGCAGGATGACTTTGACAATGATGTGGATGCTTTGCTAGAAGAAGGTCTTTGTGCTCCCAAGAAGAGGCGAATGGAGGAAAAATATGGCGGAGACAGTGATCATCCATCTGATGGAGAGACAAGTGTGCAGCCAATGATGACCAAGATTAAAACAGTGCTCAAGAGTGAGTGAGATGGTCACGAATCCTGATGCTTCAAGGTCCCAGAAGGGTTTTCTTCCCAAGAATATTTTGGGAGTTCTCTGGTGCCAGGCATCAGTCTGGGTAGAGACACGGGTTTAAGTATAGAATAGTCATGGGAGGTGAAAAGAAAACAAATTGGACACAAGTATTCACTCAGACCCACAACTCAGATTCAGATCTTGGTAAATTCCATGGAATCCACAGAGAGGCTATAAAGGATCCTTGAATGGGGTGCATTAGTGTGTGCTATGTTAAAAGACCAATAATAACCTACAGATACAGAGGCCAAGGTCAGAGGTAGGTTTTGGTGAGTTGGGAGGTTAAATTGGCATCCAAGTTTGGTTCTGTTGCAGGTAAGTCAGGAAAGCACCAGAATGAGGCTAATGTTGGTTTCTGGGCTGCAGCATGGCACGAGGCACTGTGGGCCAGGGCGGGAGCTCTGGGAATAGAAGTAGAAGTATTTGGGAGATGTCCAGAGTGGCACTTATACCTGCATCTGGTTGACAACGGGAGAGCAACCAGTCAGCACCCACAATTTGTTATCAGGCTCTGTTGCCAGTACAGGGAAAGTGTAAGACGAGTTACATGAGCTTCTGTGTGGATTTGGCTTAGTGGCACCTATTATTCTGGTAAGGATGCCAGGATCAGTTGGGGGAGTGGGGAAGGTTAAAAGGTGAGTGGGACTCAGGCACATACATGAGACCCCTGGAGAGAAGGTGGAGAGTTCGCCTTGAACTACTGAGGAGATGAGAGGGTCTGCAAGGCTAGGTACCAGATACTGCTGCACATTTTGGTGGTAGCTGAGCAGTGGAGATACCAATTTCGGACCGTCGGGCCAGGTGAACTTTGGGCTACAGTTTCTGAGAAGGGTGGTTCAGGTGGTCTTCACCTTGGTGTTCCTGGAAGGTTGGCTTTGTGCTCTTCTCATGGTTCCAGGAGTCTCACTTTGAGCTTCCCACAAGGCAGCAGTAGCCCTGGTTTGTTTACCTGTCTAGGAGGAATGATACTTGAAGCTCTTCAGACAGCTTGGTGGGCCTTGACAGCCTGCTGTCACAAATGTGTGGCTGAGATGAACCTGTCTTTTATTGTGCTCTGGTCCACATTCTTCTTGCTGCTGCTTCTGAATTAGCCCAAGGTTTGTGTGTAGCAGCTCCCTTTTGGTCAAGTTCCTGGAAGGAGTACCCATGGGTGCACGTCTGACTTGGAGGATTCCCTCTGGCTCATGCTCTGATGGTGGCTGGTTTTGAGCCCTGAGGGCAAAGCTTAGCCCAGTATTGCTCCTGCCATTCTCAGAGTCAAGCACCTTTTAAAAATCATCAAGGGCCTGGAGAGATGACTCAGCGGTTAAGAGCTCTGGTTGCTCTTCCAGAGGACCTGGGTTCAATTCCCAGCACCCACATGGCAGCTCACAACTGTCTGTAGTTCCCGTTCCAGAGGATTCGACACCATCACACAGACATGCAAAACTCCAATGCATATAAAAAAAAAAATATTTTAAAAATCATGTCTAGTTTTCAGGTTTTGTTTATGTATATTTTCTTTAGTTTCTAGGTATCAGATTGCTCCTAATATCTGTAAGAACATTTTAGTTAAGTCTTTATATTAGTTTTGTCATGGAAGAGAGGCAAGTTGAAAACAAATCTGGTACTTTTCTTAAAACTGCCAGCAAAGTAAAGAAAGGATTGGAAGCAGTATCTTAAGCAACATATTTCGTGGGGTTTTGTTTTGTTTTGGTTTATGAGACAGGATCTCTGTAACTGTAGTTTTCCTGGAACTTACTATGTAGGCTGGTCTCTAACTCCCAGAGATCCACTTGCCTTTGCCTCTCAAGTGCTGAGATTAGAGGCATGCACTACCATGCCCAGTTGTTTATAAAGACTTATTTATTTTAATCTTGTGTGTGTGAGTGTTTGCCTGCATGTATGTATGTGCATGATAGAGACCAAAATAGGGTATCAGATCCCTTGGAGCTGTGAGTTGCAGATGGTGTGAGCTACCATGTGAGTGCTGGGCACCAAACTTGGATCCTCTGCAAAAGCAGCAAGTGCTCTTAACTGCTGAGCCATCTCTTCAGCTTGTTTTATTGTTTTAAGATGGTGCTGTGGAATCAAACCCAGGGCTAGTAAGGTAGTGTTATTTTTTTTTGGTTTTTTTTTTTTTTTTTGGTTTTTCGAGACAGGGTTTCTCTGTGTAGCTTTGCGCCTTTCCTGGAACTCACTTGGTAGTCCAGGCTGGCCTCGAACTCACAGAGATCCGCCTGGCTCTGCCTCCCGAGTGCTGGGATTAAAGGCGTGCGCCACCACCGCCCGGCAAGGTAGTGTTATTTAATAACGTGTGCCTGGTCACCAGGAACAGTAGTTGGCACATTTGCAGATTATTAGCAAAGTTTACTCACTCCTCAGGTACCTGTTACCATGGCTTGAGCAGGTCAGAGAAATCCAGTATCCAGTGTTCTCAAAGTGTGGAGGCAAAAGCTAGGGTGGGATCTATTTGGGGCATGTTGTACATTGACCATGTAGAAGTTCTCACCTTGCTCCACATACTATCCTAGGGGTGCAGTTGGGCCCATCAGTCAGATAGAAACTTGGCAAGACCAGTAAGAAAACACATTCAAGAGACATTGTGTAGCAATCTTGTGTTTATAAAGGGATTGCAGGATGTTTTTGTGTTCTGTGCAGGTCGTGGCCGCCCACCTACAGAGCCTCTGCCTGACGGATGGATCATGACTTTTCATAATTCTGGAGTCCCTGTATACCTACACAGAGAGTCTCGAGTGGTCACCTGGTCCAGACCCTACTTCTTGGGAACAGGAAGCATACGGGTAGGGGAGTCATCAGTCAGGTTTTTAGGCTTGTCCATTCTCAGTACTTATCTCAATGTGTTGAAGTGCTGTCAGACAGATGCAAAGTTGTCCTGATAACCCCTGTTTTGCAATTTCACTATCTACAGAAACATGATCCTCCTCTAAGCAGTATCCCCTGTCTGCATTATAAGAAAATGAAGGACAATGAGGAGCGGGAGCAAAACTGTGATCTCATGCCCAGTGGGGAGGTGTCACCTGTCAAGCCCCTGGGTCGATCTGCAGAGTTGGATTTCCCTTTGGAAGAACCTGACTCCATGGGTGGAGACTCAGGGTCCCTGGATGAGAAGGACCCACTAGGGACTGAGGCAGCCCCTGGAGCCCTGGGACAAGTGAAGGCTAAAGTTGAAGTGTGCAAAGATGAATCAGTTGGTAAGTGTTCTGAAGAGCTTTCTTCCCTCCTTGTTACCTGAGTTTTCACTCCTACCATATGCTGTGTGTCCTAGTTCCTGGTTGTATCTGAGAAGGGGACCTTTGCATGTATAGCTCACATGGCAGACAGGTCTCTCCCCTGCTTTTAAGAGCAGGCCTGAGTGTAGCAGCCTGAGCTCTGCAGGGCCTGACTGCCAAAAGCTTCACAGAGATGATTATGGCAATGCCAACTAGTCTTTCAATATGACCCCTGAAGTCTTGCTCTTTCAGTACAATGTGATCCTGTGACGTTGTTTTTCTGATGAACATAGAATTAGCCCATAGTCATAAACTCAGCACCAAGGAACTGCCATTCTTCTGTGGTTAGTCCCCTCACTTTTCTTTTTGGCTTTTGATGCAGGGTTCTGCTTTTTGCCTTTCAAGAACTGAGCAATGCTCTTGAGTTTTGCATTTGTCTTTGGTTATATGCTTGTATTTCTTACTTTGTCTTGTGCCTATAGTTAGTTCTGTCCCTTAGATCCCGGGTGGTATCAGAGCTCTTTCAACCAACCTGCTAACTTCCGAAGAGGACTTGCAGCTTTTGGGGTTAGATTTGTGTGTATGCGGCACAGCTGCACAGCTGCGTGTGGGGTGCCTGTGGTCTGGGAACAACACATCAGTGTAGAAGCCCAGAGGAGGTAGAGAGCCACCTGGATATGGTTTGTTATGAGTTTGAAGGGCCAGAGGCAAAAGTGAGATTGTCAGAGAGGTGGTAGACACCTGCTGTTGGCAGTCAGGTACTTGCTATTTTTTGTTTCCCAGCACAATACTCATTTTGCCTTAAGGAGAAAAGCCTGAAGACTAGTGTTTTGTTTTTTTTTAATTTTTTTTATTTGTTTTGTTTTTATTTTAAACCCCACCCCCACCACTGTATCATTTTCGTATTGTTTTTCTTAGTCCAGATAAAGTAATGATATGCACAGTATTCTATCCATAAGGGACTTCTCAGAATGATTTGAAGTAGGTGTGAAAGGACCTTTTTTTTTTTTTTCTTTCCTTGCTTTTGAAAGGGACGGGGAAAGGGAAATGGATATCATGTGTCCTGAACTTGTTTAATGGGGATTGTCATTATACACAGGGCTGAGAAAAATATGATTCTTGTGTTGGAAATCTGATGTGGTTCACTGGTATATATCTTGGACAGATCTGGAGGAATTTCGTACCTACCTGGAGAAGCGTTTTGACTTTGAGCAAGTAACTGTGAAAAAATTCAGGACTTGGGCTGAGCGGCGCCAGTTCAACCGTGAGATGAAGCGGAAGCAGGCAGAGTCAGAGAGGCCCATCCTGCCAGCCAACCAGAAGCTCATCACTTTATCTGTGCAAGACGCACCTACAAAGAAAGGTGAGCTTCGCTTGGACCGTCAGCATCAGCAGATAGAGCATGTTATTGTCATTTCAATATGCTTTGTCTATGTTTATGAGTTGTACTTACCCCAAAAGCTGCCTGTTTTCTGTCATGCAGAGGCTGCCATGTTCATAGTGGTAAGCCCCTAAGGAGTGACTCAGTAATGTGGATGGGCCAGGTTCCTGAGTGTTACCTGAGATAGTTCTTTTTGTCACAGAATTCGTCATCAATCCCAATGGGAAGTCTGAGGTCTGCATCCTGCACGAATACATGCAGCGTGTCCTCAAGGTCCGCCCTGTTTATAATTTCTTTGAATGTGGTAAGTTCAAACCGATTTCAGTCCTTGAAGAGTCTCACACATCGTTTTGCTTGTGGCTGGAGGTGGGAGTGAGTACATTGGCCCTGCTGGGTTGGATGGACGTGCAAGGCAAGGACAAAGAGAAGTGTGGTGCAGATAGGTGTCTTATTTTCACCCTTGTCTGAGAGGGAATGGCTCAGCTTTTCCTTTTGAGTTTAGTTTGTCCTATTCCCCTCTTCCCCTGTTTTCTTCTCTGCTCTTCCTTAGTAGCTCCTGACTTGTCAAGAACAGTTTGTAATAAAGGTCTTTCTGTTGTGCATTGAGTTCTTTCCTCACCTTCCTGTCCTGTGTCTGCCACTCCCACCCCCCAACAATGAAGGAGCCTTGATCTCACCACACTTCCTTGACAGCTCTGTCATCTGTGATTCCCTCTATATAGATTGTGAATGCTAGTGTGGTTGCCCTTGGGATCTGAGACCGGGGATCACTCATTTTTTGGGGGGTGCTTTTTCTCAGATGTCCTTGGTCCTATGCTTTGCCATTCTTGACAGTCCTGTTTGTCTTCAGAGACCACATCCCTACCTTGTCCCTGTATTGGGAAGCTCTGTCTTCAGCTCCTGTTTCCCCTTTGGGTCATTTCCCATAGTACCCCATGCTCTTCAGTCTTCCCATCTGTGTCCTTTGCTGCCTGTCTTCACACCTCCCAACCTTGTCAGCACATCCCAAACAAGCACAGACATGCTTTATTCAGGGGTATCTTGTCAGGACTGACAGACTTGGAGTATGCATGCTTTTCATGTCTTGACAAGTGTGTTTTAAAACCAGTAATTTTAATTTTAAGAGAATCCAAGTGAGCCTTTTGGTGCCTCGGTGACCATTGATGGTGTGACTTACGGATCTGGAACTGCAAGCAGCAAAAAACTTGCGAAGAATAAAGCTGGTAATGTGGTTTGCTTGGTATATCAGTTACTTTTCCTGTTGCTGTGATAGGTGCCCTTACAAAAGCAACTTAAGAAAGAAAGGGGTATAGATTATCATGGTGGGAAAGGTGTGGTGCAGGAGTTTGAGGGTGCTGCCAGCATGGCATCTGCAGTCAGGAGCTGACAGTGATGAATGCTAGTGCTTAGCTTCTTTCCCCCTTTTGGTTCAGCCCAGAACCTCAGCCCATGACATGGTGCCACTCAACATTAAGGTGGATTTTCCCACCTCAGTTAACCATGTTTAGATATTCATTCACAAGTATGCCCTAGAGGCTGACTTAATTTAGATATTGATCACAGGCATGTCCAGAAGCTGGTAATCAGTATTAACTAGCACATTTGGTATCCAGAGACATGCTGCCTGCTGAGTTTGCCTCACTCTGATTAGCAAGGGGCTGAGTAATGAGTAGGTTTTTAGGGGTATGGGTAAGACAGTTATGCATGTAATCTATTTTTTAATGTTCTTTCTAAAAAAGGTGTGTGTGTGTGTGTGTGTGTGTGTGTTTCTTTCTTTCTGCATGTGAACTACTTGTGTGCTGGTGCCCTCAGTGGCCAGAAGAGGGCATTGGATTCTCTGGAACTGGAGTTAAAGGAAGTTGTGAGTCACCTGATATGGGTGCTGAGAACCAAACCCAGAGCAGCAAGTGCCCTAACTTACTGAGCCATTTTTGCTTCCCTCTACCTGGATTTAAAACATAATAGTAGTGGTACATGCCTGTAATTCTAGTACTTGAGAAGCTGCTTCAGGACCATTGTGAGTTTCAGGCTAGCCTTGGCTGTCAAGCAAGACTGTCTGGAAATTAAGGGCTGGGGATGTAACTCAGATTTGAGATAAAATATAATAATTATATGCTTATTGTAAATGATTTAAACTAAGAAAATAAAAAGACAATCATGAGTTAGAAAGGTGGCTCAGTAGTTGAGAGCATGTACTGTTCTCTTAGTGGAACCAAGTTTGTTTCCTGTCTTAGTTACTTTTCTTCTGCTGACAAAGCACCATGACCAAGGCAACTCTAGAATAAAGCATTTAATTGGAACTTGTGGTTTCAGAAGGTGAGTTCATGACCATTGTGGGAACATGGAGGCAGGTAGGGCAGGCATGGTCCTGGAGCAGTAGCTGGGAATTTATATCTGATTTACAAGCATGAGGCAGAGAGAGCTAACTAGGAATAGTGTGGGCTTTGAAGCCTCAAACCCCATCCCTATGATACACATCCTTCAGCAAGGCCATGCCTCCTAATCCTTCCCAAACAGTTCCACCATCTAGGGACCAAGCATTCAAAATCAGTAAACTGTGGGGGCCATTCTTACTCAAATCACCACAATTCCCAGAACCTGCATGGGACAGTTACAAATACCTGTAGCTCCAGCTCCAGGGAAATCTAATGCCTCTGTTTCTGCATATACATATACACATAATTAAAATAAGATTATAGCGGGCTGCGTGCTAACACCTTTCATCCCAACATTCCGGAGGCAGAGACAGTCATTATCTCTGAGTTTGAAGCTGGTCTGGTCTACAGAGTTCCAGGATAGCCAAGGTTATGTCTCAAAACAGATTTTTTTTTTTTTTATATGTTTATTTTTCAAAACAGGATTTCTCTGTGTGGCCTGGCTGTCCTCGAACTTGCTCTGTAGACCAGGCTGGCTTTGGACTCACAAAGATCCACCTGCCTCTGTCTCCCAAGTACGGGCATTAAAGGTATGAGCCACCCCCATCCCCCATCTTCACTTCAGATTTTTATTTATTTACTTATTTTTTTAAGATTTATTTATTATGCATATAGTGTTCTACTGGGGCCATGTGGGGTATGTGCAAGTTTGTTTTGTTATTATTATTATTATTTTTTTTTATTTTATTTTATTTTTTTAAAGATTTATTTATTATGTATACAGTGTTCTGTCTGCATATATGCCTGCAGGCCAGAAGAGGGCACTAGATCTCATTACAGATGGTTGTGAGCCACCATGTGGTTTCCTGGGAATTGAACTCAGGACCTCTGGAAGAACAGCCAGTGTTCTTAACCTCTGAGCCATCTCTCCAGCCCTATTATTATTTTTTTTAAGATTTATTTATTTATTATGTACACAGTGTTCTGCCTACATGCATGCTTGCAGGCCAGAAGAGGGCACCAGATCTCATTACGGATGGTTGTGAGCCACCATGTGGTTGCTGGGAATTGAACTCAGGACCTCTGGAAGAACAGGCAGTGCTCTTAACTGCTGAGCCACCTCTCCAGCCCTGTTTTGTTATTTTTTATTTTTGTTTTTTTTGAGACAGGGTTTCTCTGATTGTTGGGATTGAAGCATGAACCACCACACCTGGCATGCAAGTTTGTTTTTTTAAACAGCAAAATGTGGGCATGTTAAGAGAAAAAAAGACAGATTGTCACCTTATCACCATTTTGAGGGTTTTTGATATTTATATAGACTATTTCTTGGATTAGACAGTTGTTGCACACCATGTTCATCCCAAGAATACTGGTGTTTTCTTTTAAAAGACCCACTGCACCATATCTTTGCCTTCTGCCTCCATGCAGAAATAGACAGCATTTTTGTACCAAGCCATTGTGCTCAGCATTGGGGTTATTTGGGCTTTCTGAGAAGTGGATGCATTGCAGACTAGTGTTAGGTATACTTCTGGCCCTGGCACATACAGGGCCATTCTTGAACTTTATCCTATGGGCATGTTGTCTTCCAGAACTGGTCTATATACAGAACAGGGGTCATATCAGTTTTCTCAGTCTTACTGGGTCCTGGGGGCAGGGGGAGGATTTTCTACTTTTAAGAATTAGAAGCCGGGCGGTGGTGGCGCACGCCTTTAATCCCAGCACTCGGGAGGCAGAGCCAGGTGGATCTCTGTGAGTTCGAGGCCAGCCTGGGCTACCAAGTGAGTTCCAGGAGAGGCGCAAAGCTACACAGAGAAACCCTGTCTCGAAAAACAAAACAAAACAAAACAAAGAATTAGAGAGTGTTCCTCTGTGCTACTTTGTTTTTGTGGCCAATGCTGAGGACAATAAGAAGTCTTTCTGCATCACATTACTGCCTGTCCTCTGTTCAGCTGCCCTTAGTTTGCATATTCTGCCTCTGTCTCCAGGAATGCCTGATACCTATTTTGTTAACTTTCTCCTTATGCAGACCTAGGGATTGAGCCAGGTCTTGACATGCTAGGTAAAGTGCTCTACCACTGAGCTAGGCTCTAGCTCCTGCTATCCATTTTAGAAAGATTCAGCCTAAAAAGACTTCAGCTCAACAAATTGTTGAGACTTTGAGCAGACAACTTTGGAGATAGGGCCTGGAAGAGGAATGAAAACATCCTCAGGCTTGTCCTAAGCTGTTCTTTTTACAAGGTCACCTGTCTCTGTGCTGGGCTTTGTTTCTCTGCCTATTCCGACTACACTTTGTAGACATCTGCACTGCTTGATCTTCATTGTGTGCTTATTTTGCTGGGATGTCTTACCAACAGTGCATTGCTGGACCCGACTGAGCCATTATTGTAACAGGTATGGCCTGTTCATGTGGGTGTCACCCTCATTCTGCTTTATACATGCTTCTTCCAGAGTTCCTCAGAATTGCCCGTCTACCTGTTCATAGTAGCTGCTATCCATGTGTTGTGGTCTGGATGTCTGTAGCAGTCTGCTGTCAGGCCTCCTTGGGTCCAGGTTCTCCAAGCCATTTTCATATATATACTACAATTTGATTAAAACATAGATGCAACTTCCTCCCTTGGTAAAATTGGTATACGAAACTTCTACCATCTCACTGTCCCTTCTTCAGGATGCGCATATTCTTTATCCCCTCCCAATCTACCTTTTAAAGTGCTGTTGCTGCTCTGGCTACGAGTGTGGGAGCCAGCATGTAGCTCACTGCTGGCTGGGCAGTATGCCTGGTTTTCCTTTGGGCTCACGCCCTTACCTCAGACTTTTTCTTTTTGTAGCCCGAGCCACACTGGAAATTCTCATCCCTGACTTTGTTAAACAGACCTCTGAGGAGAAGCCCAAAGACAGTGAGGAATTGGAGGTGAGTGTGGTGATCTTGTTCTGCTGGGAGCTGCAACTGCCATACAGCCACTGACCCCACTGCCTCAACCAGGGGTGTGTGTGTGCACCACGTCAAGGGTGTAGTCATTAGCCTGTAAGAGGAACTTACTTGTCTTTGTGAAGGCAGAGGGGAAACTTGAAGAATTTTATCCTTTAATTGAGTATGTATTAACAAATAGATCTTTGATGGGAATGAACCTAGCAGAGTATGTAAGATTGAGATTGTTGTTAGAGCTGTCTGAAACCCTGTCCTGTGTAAATCTTTGACGATAAATATGGTTCTATGGCTATTCATAGGAAAGGAGTTTCATCTTGATTTTAAATTGATTTCTTTACTTGTCTGTTTTAATTTTCTTGAGGTCACTGGTCATTTTAAAACCAGACTTTTAAGTTCTTTGGCCTTTGAACCCTTTTGTTATTGGATTCATCTATGATAGAGTCCTGAATATTTTCAGAAATTGTGTTGCCTTGGCTTTTCAGAGTTCTTGTGTTTCTACATTATGTCTTGCTTATCTGTCAGGATAGGTATCGCTTTTCAGGTGTTTAAATTTTTATTTAAATGGGAGGCAGGAGCAAGCAGATCTCTATGAGTTTGATGCCAGCCTGGTCTACATAATTAGTTCCAGGCCATCCAGTGACTACATTAGACCCTGTTTCAAAAAACCAAAAAATTTTTCATTTAAATGGAATTTAAAATTTTATGGAGGTCATTGGTGGACTCTTATTAGACTTCTTAGAGTCATGTTCCCCATTTGCACTAAGAGAGAAAGCAGGCAACAGTAATTAAAAACAATTCAATTTTTGTATTGCTTTTTTTATTATTTATTTTGTGTGGTTGTGGGGGGGGGTACATGTGAGTGTGGAGGTGGAAGAATAACTCTAGGAAGTGGGTCCTTTCCTCCTACCGTGTGCGTTCCAGGACTGAAGCTCAGGCACTCCAGCTTATGTGGCAAATGCTTTTGCCATTGAGCCATCTAGTAGCCCTTAACTACATTCAGCTATGAGGAAGGTAAGAAAAAGAGAAAATATGTATTGGGGTAAAGGTATAGAAAAGCCATGGCTTGGTTGTGCTGTAGTAGTGCATGCCTGTAGTCCTCACACCTCACACACAGAGGCAGGAGGACCAGGGCAAAGACAGCCTCAGGTCTGTAGTTATTCAAAGTCAGCTTGAGCTCCATGAGACCCTGTCTCAGCTCCCCACCCCCCAAAGGAAAAAGGAAAAGAAGTGATCCCAAAGGAGCACATAGAAAAGCAAGAAAGACAGTACAGCCAGAAGGAAGGAAAAGGAAGGGATCCAAGAGAACAGGACAAGAGAGGATGGATTCTTTTTCTCCAGGCCTGTTTTCATAGGTGAGTGAGGGCTCAAGCAAGTCAGAGAAGAAGGGCTTTTCTTGGGCTTCATTGTTGGTGAAGTCCTGTATGTAGGCCTGCCTGGTTATGCAGGAAGTGTAAGAACCTCCCTCAAACTGCTCCTCTTAGCCTAGCTCCACCTGCACCAAAGACCCTTTCTGCCTTTGGGTTTGTGGCAGGTAGTTCTTTTGTGCATTTGTGTGCATGTGCTTCAGGGTTGTGTGTGTGTGTGTGTGTGTGTGTGTGTGTGTACCAAAGACTGGGGTAGCTTGATATACTTACTGGTAATTTTAATTTGTCCTAAAGGTTTCTGAAACTCTAATTACTTATTTTTGTTCCCCAGACTAGATGATCTTGATAGACCTATCTTTGTGTTTGCTAATTTGAATCTACTAGGAGACACCTCTAGTGTTCATAATCTCCATCCTGTCCTTCCTCTTATGTTAGGAATAGGATCTAGGGCCTTAGACATGCCAGATAAGAACTCTGTCCCTGAGCCATATCTCCATCCTCCCCCCACCCCAACCCCTGTGTGTATGTCTGTCTGTCTTTTTTGAGACAGTGTCTCACTCTGTAGCCTGGCTGGTCTGGAATTCTCTATGTAGGTCAGGTTGACCTCAGACTCCCTGAGATCCACCTTCCTCTGCCATCCAGTGCTGGGATTAAAGGCCTATGCCATCAGCAGTTAAGAACACATACTATTCTTGCAAAGGACCTGAGTTTGGTTCCTAGCACCCACATTGGGTCAATACTTTCAGCCTTTCTGGGCGCATTGACTCATAATGTACATATATATACACAAACATAATTAAAAATGATAAAAATAAATAATAAAAATAAAAATGGAAGCTGAAGAGATGGTTGAATACTTGCTCCCCTTGCAGAGGACCTGGATTCAGTTCTCTGCCCCCCAACCCCCCATATGCCCAGTTCCAGATCTGATGCTCTTTTCTAGCCTCCATGGTCACTGTACATATGTGGTATACAGACATATGTACAGCCAAAACATCCATACATACAGAGAAAATGTTTTTGAAAAGGAATATTAAAAACTCAGAAGGGAACTCAAGGACAATTTTTTGGCATTACAGAGAAAAGAATGGGGCATACAAGCTAGAGGTCTCATCAGCTGCCAGGAGGAGGGAGATGGATAAAGGACAGAGACAGTGAGAACAAGTGAAGACAAAGCATGCCAGGACAAAGGAATCTGGTGCCATGGGCCTTCGTTCTGTGTAGGGTTTGTGTCTCTGTGTGTGTCTGTGTGTGTCTGTCTATCCTCAGTTGCTTCTCTACATTTTTTTGTTAGTTTGTTTGTTTGACACGGTTTCTCTATGTAGCTTTTGCAGTTTGTCCTGGAACTCACTTTATAGACCAGGCTGGCCTCAAATTCACAGAGATTCACCTGCCTCTGCCTCCTGAGTGCTGGGATTAAAAGCATGTGCCACTATTCCTCGGCCTTCTATATTTTTTTGGAGTGAGGTCTCACTATGTAGCTGTTTTGGTTGTTCTTTAACTCACTATATATTGATTCTGTATATATGAAAGGTAGGATAATGAATGACTAATTATCTTTTGATATCCTTGTTACTTTCTAGTTCTTTTAATATATTGGTTTATGTGTGTACATTTTTGTGTGTGCATGAGTATGCGGACTTATTCTCATGTTGTGTGTGGATGCACATGTGTAGGCCAGAGGACAAATTCATGGAGTTGGTGCCCTCCTAACTTTACTTTGGTTCTAGGGATGGAACTCAGATAACTAGGTTTATGTGATAAGCACCTTTACTACTGAGCCATCTTGCTGGCTCTTCCTTTTGGCCACTTTAAAATCCTGTTACTGGTTCATCTTTAACCTTGCATTTTGTTACAAACAGCTGTGGATCTTTGTCACAGAAACACCTGTGCTGGCTTATTTATAATCTTAAAAATAGAAGGCCAGCTCTTAAAAATGATTTATAGGCAGCTTGGAGAATTTTTCCCCAGCATTGTGGTACTTAAAACTGGTCTCATTTCAAAGAAAAAAAGCAAAATATTTTTTACAATCTTTTATTTACTTTTTTGTTTTGTTTTTGTTTTTTCAAGACGGTTTCCCTGTGTAGCCCTGGCTATCCTATAACTCACTTTGTAGACCAGGCTGGCCTCAAACTCACAGAGATTCATCTGCCTCTGCCTCCTGAGTGCTGGGATTAAAGGCATTCATCACCACCACCCGGCATTTTTATTTTATTTTTTTAAGATGGATTTTATTTGTATGTGTGTCTGTGTGTCTGCCATGTGAGTGCAGGTGCCCAGGGAGGCCAGAAGAGGGCATCAGATCCCCTGGAGCTGGAGTCACAGGCAGCTCTCAGCTGCCCAACATGGATGCTGGGAAATAAATTCGGGTCCTCTGGAAGAGCTGTAAGCACTCCTAACTGCTGAACCATCTCTCTAGTCCCTCACTTATTTATTTATATATTTATTGTGTGGGTATGTACATGCCACTGCACACATGTGGAGTTCAGAGGATCCCATATGGATCCCAAGGAATGAACTCAGGTTATTAGACTTGGCAGTAAGTACCCTTACCCACTGAGCTGCCTCAAACCTCCCCCTTTATTATTGATCATTGATCATTGCTATATTTGCCTCAGAGGAAGCTGGCATGGTACCTGGGAAGGAGATGGTTGCAGAATGACCTTTTATTTCCTTTCTTCCTGTTTAGTAATCCCCTGTTACCCTTAACTCACTGACTAATTCATTGATTGATTAAATTTATTTTGTGATGCCCAGGATTGAACCCATGGCTTTGCTAGGGATGTACTTTGCCACTGCCCTCTTAACTGCTAAGCTATCTCTCCAGTCCCAATTTTTATTATATTTACTTATGCATATGTGTCTGTGTAAGTGTGTATCGTGTGTGTTGGGGGGGGTTGCCCACAGAGGCTAGAAGAGGGTGTTGGATCCCCTTGGAGCTTTAGTTACAGGCAGTTGTGAGCTGCCTAACATGGGTTCTGGAGCTGAATTTGGGTCCTCTGCAAGAGCAGTAAGTACCCTTAACTGCTAAGTCATCTCTCCAGCCTCTAGGCATGATTTATTTGATTTTGTGCTGTATGTTTTTTGTATGTCTGTAAATCACAGGTCATCCTTGAATGTCATTCCTCAGATACTGATCATCTTTTTGAGATAGGATCTCTTAAGGTCTGGCCTGGAACTTACCAATTAGACTAGGATGGCCAGCCAGTAAGCCCTGGAGACTTGCTTGTCCTCATCTCCCTGGTGCTCAGATTGCCTGGCTTTTTTTTTTTTTTTAAATGACAGTTGTGAGGTTCAAATACGTCTTCATGCTTGCACGGCTAGTGCTTTACCAACTGAGCTATCTCCAACAGCCCAAGTCTGTGCTTTTTGTTATGGGTAGTTTGGAGTCTTTGGTAAGTCCACCTTCTTTCCCCCATATAGGACCATCTATACTTAACAGTCTGTGTGTCTCACTTTTTGTTGAGAAGTAGACATTTAAAACGTTTGACAACTATGGAAATGGAACACTCACATACCCCACTATACATACAGCACCACAACCAAGATTAGTTATTGCTGTTAATATTTGTTTACTGGTTCTACATAACAAAGAATTAAAGGCTGGACAGATTAAAC